TTAACTTTAATTTTGGGCATTGCCTAAATAGCTATGTACTGTATACATGTGACATCACCTGGAAAGGGACATGAAATCCTTGATAAACACAGTATAAAGTGTAGGGTATGAGAAACAAGAATTTGTGTATACATTGACAGAAGGATAAAATACAACCACTTTGGACACATTTGGATAATAAAATGAAATAGATTATTGTATCTTTAGTACATATACATTTATAAAATAACTGTCTGTATGTATAACCTACAGGTGTGACTATTTTGAGGCTGTCCATGAAGAGATTAAAACTGTGACTTGGAGTTATTGAAATGATAAAGCGCTACATCAAGACAAAGCAACACATATGACACAGACTATGTAAGTTTCTTATAATTGTTTTCTGAATCCTTAGCAAAAAAAAAATGGATTGATAATTGATGTCATTTAATTATATTTTGCTTGGTACAGCTTTCTAAAACATACTTTGACCACATGTATTTTTAAATTAGCTATTTTTGAGAGTGACCTTTAATAGTATTTATTGTCTTTCTTGCATATTATTATACAGGTTCTTGAATTAGTCATTGTTTCCAATAACAAATGTTCAAATTGCTGCCAAGTTTTAACTGTAGACACAAAAGCATGTTGTGTCTGTGAGAACGTTTCATAGACTACTGTAGATAATCACACTTCCCATGACAAAAAAAAAAACAACATACTAACATTTTCTGCTATTCATATGGTATAATTGATTACAAACTATGCATTATTACACTGAATGCCGACTGAAAGATTCTTTGAAAAAATCGTACTTAATTTAAGAAAAATGAATTTGTTTATATTACATCCCAGCTGTTTTTTGTCTTCAGCTTTCATTTCAGCTTCACTGAATCGATTGTGTGTGCTTTTTGCTTGAAAAACATTGTTATCTTCATTCTGAAATATGAGAAGACACAATAGAATGCCCATCAATGCCATGCTTGTATTTTTAACATAAGGGTTCTTGCTCTGAGATTTTGGATGGAAATTGCCAGATATAATTGAAGTGCTTTTCTTGAGAACATGCATACTGCCAAGGAGACTAACAGTCTGTTATTGAATGAAACTAGAAAAGCATTAGCAGATTAATTTAATTGACTTGCTCTTCAGTCTAGATGATCCGTACACAGCGCTGATACAGGGTTTTCTGTTGCTACAATTTATTGTACAATAGACACATGTTACCTTTTTGTGAGAGCTAATTATAATTGATGGACCAGCACTTAGCGGATACTGGATAGATGATTGTCAAACCAAAACTGGAAATAAATAGAACAAAACAGTGCTCTGTTCAATCCACAAAATAAAATGTCCCTTTTCAGCACAGGATGCATGTGTTATTTACTGTATTAGGATGCATTAAAATAAACAAATTAACCTCACAATTATTGCTTTTTAGTGCTGTACAGTATATATATATATATATATATATATATATATATATATACAGTGGGGCAAAAAAGTATTTAGTCAGCCACCAATTGTGCAAGTTCTCCCACTTAAAAAGATGAGAGAGGCCTGTAACTGGCATCATAGGTAGACCTCAACTATGAGAGACAAAATGAGAAAAAAAAATCCAGACAATCACATTGGCTGATTTGGAAAGAATTTATTTGCAAATTATGGTGGAAAATAAGTATTTGGTCAATATCAAAAGTTCATCTCAGTACTTTGTTATATATCCTTTGTTGGCAATGACCGAGGTCAAACGTTTCCTGTAAGTCTTCACAAGGTTGGCACACACTGTTGCTGGTATGTTGGCCCATTCCTCCATGCAGATCTCCTCTAGAGCAGTGATGTTTTGGGGCTGTCGCTGGGCAACATGGACTTTCAACTCCCTCCAAAGGTTTTCTATGGGGTTGAGATCTGGAGACTGGCTAGGCCACTCCAGGACCTTGAAATGCTTCTTACAAAGCCAATCCTTCGTTGCCCGGGCGGTATGTTTGGGATCATTGTCATGTTGGAAGACCCAGCCACATTTCATCATCAATGCCCTTGCTGATGGAAGGAGGTTTGCACTCAAAATCCCAAGATACGTGGCCCCATTCATTCTGTCCTGTACATGGATCAGTCGTCCTGGTCCCTTTGCGGAGAAACAGCCCCAAAGCATGATGTTGCCACCCCCATGCTTCACAGTAGGTATGGTGTTCTTTGGATGCAACTCAGCATTCTCTCTCCTCCAAACACGATGAGTTGTGTTTCTACCAAACAGTTCTATTTTGGTTTCGTCTGACCATATGACATTCTCCCAATCCTCTTCTGGATCATCCAAATGCTCTCTAGCAAACTTCAGACGGGCCCTGACATGTACTGGCTTAAGCAGGGGGACACGTCTGGCACTGCAGGATCTGAGTTCCTGGCGGGGTAGTGTGTTACTGATGGTAGCCTTTGTTACATTGGTGCCAGATCTCTGCAGGTCATTCACTAGGTCCCCCCGTGTGGTCCTGGGATTTTTGCTCATCGTTCTTGTGTTCATTTTGACCCCACGGGGTGAGATCTTGCGTGGAGCCCCAGATCTAGGGAGATTATCAGTGGTCTTGTATGTCTTCCATTTTCTAATTATTGCTCTCACGGTTGATTTTTTCACACCAAGCTGCTTGCCTATTGCAGATTCAGTCTTCCCAGCCGGTGCAATTTTGTTTCTGGTGTCCTTCAACAGCTCTTTGGTCTTCCCCATAATGGAGTTTGGAGTGTGACACTTTGAGGTTGTGGACAGGTGTCTTTTATACTGATAACAAGTTCAAACAGGTGCCATTGATACAGGTAATGAGTGCAGGACAGAGGAGCCTCTTAAAGAAGAAGGTGCAGGTCTGTGAGAGCCAGAAATCCTGCTTGTTTGTAAGTGACCAAATACTTATTTTCCACCATAATTTGCAAATAAATTATTTCCAAATCAGCCAATGTGATTGTCTGGATTTTTTTTCTCATTTTGTCTCTCATAGTTGAGGTCTACCTATGATGCCAATTACAGGCCTCTCTCATCTTTTTAAGTGAGAGAACTTGCACAATTGGTGGCTGACTAAATACTTTTTTGCCCCACTGTATATGTGTGTGTGTGTAAATATATATATACTGTAGATAGATAGATAGATAGATAGATAGATAGATAGATAGATAGATAGATAGATAGAGATATATTAATCTATATATAAAAGATTTGTCTATTTTCAATGTTGCCCCCTAGGCCACATGAAAAGACCACCTTCCTGCTATGCAGTATTTTTTTTAAATCTGTACCATGTCCATTCTGAATCCAAAATTCATCCCTACTCTTCCTAGCCAAAATGCAGGGCTATGATGGGATTAGCAGAAATGGAGGAGGAGGAAGAGGGCATATTAGCAGCACCTGCACATAACTGGCTGCCAGGGGCAGACTGACCATTTGGAAACTCGGGCACTGCCCAAGGGCTGGGGGTCAGTAGGGGGCCCCATGAGATGCCCCTGGTACTTTTTTCATAGGCTTTTTTGAGTTTGGGCAAGGACACAGGGGCCCCATGATCCCTTATTACCCAGGGGCCCCATGAGTTCTCAGTTCTCAGTCAGCAGGACTGGTATATGCTTCTTTGTTTCCAAGAGGAACAGGATGAGCATTTCCAGAGCCCTACAAAATGACCTCTAGCAGGCCACTGGTGTGAATGTCTCTGACCAAACAATCAAAATCAAAGACTTCATGAGGGTGGCCTGAGGGGCCCTGTGCTCACTGCCCAGCACCTTAGAGCTCAATTGGCATTTGCCATTGAACACATGAATTGGCAGGTCCGCTACTGGCCCCCCTGTGCTTTTCACAGATGAGAGCAGGTTCACCCTGAGCACATGTGACAGATGTGAAAGGGTCTGGAGAAGCCGTGGAGAACGTTATGCTGCCTGCAACATCATTCAGCATGCCTGTTTTGGTGGTGGGTCAGTGATGGTCTGGGGAGGCATAGCCATGGAAGGAACTCATGTGGCGAGAGTATGCAGGCAGTTCTTGGAGGATGAAAAATTGATACAATTGAATGGCTCGCCTGACCTAAATCCAATAGAACACCTCTGGGATATCATGTTTCAGTCCATGTGATGCCCTCAGGTTGCACCTCAGACTGTCCAGGAGCTCAGTGATACCCTAGTCCAGATCTGGGAAAAAATACCCCAGGACGCCATCTGTCGTCTCATTAAGAGCATGCCCCAACGTTGTCAGGCATGCATACAAGCACGTGGAGGTCATACAAACTACTGAGTACCATTTTGAGTTGCTGTAATAAAATGTCAGCATCATTTTTTCACTTTGATTTTCAAGATAGGTAGGTTGTAGGTTGATATTTTCCATTTCCATCAAACGTTGGGGCATCGTTATGTTCCTAACACATTACCCAGTCCATATCAGCATAGATATCCAGCATGATATTTTTCTCCATTCAGATCTGATGTATTTTCAACGTGTTCATTTAATATATTTAATATATATATAAACACACACAGTACACACACAGTTCTGCCATAAGCAAGCATTTTGTGGGGGAAATGTGATAGAAGGCAGACAAGAGTGTAACATAAGTGTGACACAGTGCAAATTATCACTTCATATTGCACATGAAATTTCTGATCCTCTACTGTGTTAATGAATGCCGTTCACTCACTATAATTAAAACTGTGCTGCAACACATTTTAGTTTGCTGACACCTTGGTGTTTTTCATTATAGCGTCATGTACCTATTTAATTCTTGTGAAGGCTGAAAAGTTCTTTATTAATCCCTTTGGAATTGTTTGCCATTATTTCACCCATGTACACCCTAAAAAAATTAAATGTATTATTTTTGTGAAACATTAGAGACAGGAACAAGGCAAGTTTTATATCTGAAAAGGTTACTCAATATATAATAATCAATATGTCACAATTAAGTAATTTACATCATGTAGGTATTGTGTATTAGGTGCTGTGACAGTAACCGTCTTCTTGAAATTATAATGAGTGGCTTTCCTTTTATTTTAGTAGCAGTAAATGTGTTCATATTCAAATGAAGCAGAATAACTGTTTACTATGTCTTAAAAACATACTCGTGTCTCCTTCCTTTGGCTGTACCTTTCATAGTTCTCTGTATATCCACATCCTTATTCATATCAGTCAATACCAGGGGCAGACTGACCATTTGGAAACTCGGGCACTGCCCGAGGGCCCGGGGTCAGTAGGGGGCCCCATGAGATGCCCCTGGTACCTTTTTCATAGCCTTTTTTGAGTTTGGGCAAGGACACAGGGGCCCCATGATCCCCTATTGCCCGGGGGCCCCATGAGTTGTCAGTCCACCCCTGGTCAATACTCTGTGTTGACTTTATAGATGGTTGCTATTGTATATTCATCATTCAGGTGACTATACTGTATATTTTTTAGTCTGTGGGTTAGAGGTGAATAGTGTCACTTATTTACAAATGTTTTGCATCCTATGGATAGTGACATTTTGGAGCAGCAATAATGGTCTGGATTTAAAAAAAATTATAACAACCATGTTTTCATGTTATTAAAGCAATGCACTATCTCTGCTTTCCTTAGTTGCTTGCAAAGGTCAATAATAGACTAGGCTGTGGCAGCATTATTCTACTGTATTCTAGCCTCAGTGGCAGAGAAAGGGCCTGTGCACAAGTTTCTTTCACAAATTTAAAGAAGGCAGTGATGAAGTGAAGCCTTGACACTCTGCATTAGGTACCTGAAGAAGGTAAGTACACCCCTGGTTTTGTTTTGCTTTCTGTTTCCAGTAATTTGGAAAGACAATGTTATGCAATGTCTTTAGTTGGGTATACATGGACTGAAAATTGGCCAAATCAACAGAATACAGAATACAATAGTGCAGCAGGGGAAATTGCTTCCTCCACATTGCTTGTGTACAGGGGCGGACTGACCATTTGGAAACTCGGGCACTGCCCGAGGGCCCGGGGTCAGTAGGGGGCCCCATGAGATGCCCCTGGTACCTTTTTCATAGCCTTTTTTGAGTTTGGGCAAGGACACAGGGGCCCCATGATCCCCTATTGCCCAGGGGCCCCATGAGTTGTCAGTCCGCCCCTGCTTGTGTAGATGTGCGGATCGGTCAGGTTTTTGTTTTGTTCAACATGCTGGTTGAATGGAAAAAAACAGTCCATGTATACCCTGCTGTAGCCTCCCTAGTGGTCTGATTATGTCAGTATTTCTGTGCTCAAAGTGGTACATTTTTTTGCATGGAAATATGTATTTATTATTGTAGGCCTGTAATTTTTAGGAATAACTCACTGAAATCTGTCCGAACAAGAGTCTATTAAACATCCCGGGTATGTTAAAATTTGAAACACTAAATTATAAATTATAGTTTTAATAAATAATCATATAATAATAATATAATAATAAATTTAATTCAATAATATAATCAAAACAAAAACACTGAAATTTTAAATATAGCACCAAGTTCGCACATCACTGAGCAAAGTCGCAAAATCGTTTTCAGTGTCTGATGACGAATTTCCCCACGAATCATTATCACTCAATTCTGCAAGTAGTTCTGATTTACTATCATTGTTCTGTAGCTGGTCTAAAGCCGCTTTTGACCTAAAGGGACGCTTTTTGGATGCCATGGACATTTCTTAGTTTCCAGGCAGAAAGAACGGTAAACATGCAGGCAGGGCACAGGACAAAGCACTCGGGACAAAATGTATGTGACATGGTTTGATACAGTAATGTTATACTATGTGATTTTAGTGAATGTCACTTTTTCACATTTTAAATTTCCCGCCGTTCCGTCCCCCGTATGTCCTGACGTCGCAGGGAACGGAACCCAGAAGACAGATGCTGGAATCGGCCGGAGGACATTGCCGGGGACACTGCAGGATGGACATCGTGGGAGAGCAGGACAAGGTAAGTGAAGAACAGATCCCAGAGCAACGCTGCATGGTATTCCCGAGTGTAGCTCGGGGTTACCACTTGTGGTGCTGAAACTTTACCCCGGGCTACACTCAGGAATACCGCCAGGGGGGTTAAGGACAAATATTTCCTTCTCCCTTGTATATTTATGTTAATTTAGCACTGTAAGAGGTAAACATCAGGTGGCATTCTGTCTGTAGCACTTTGTAGTGGTAACTTTCTGTAGCTCTTTATCAATGGTAACATCTGTGCCTATCACACCTAATTCCTTCTCGGTCTTTCCACTAAAATTACCAGGTTGTAATGTACACATAGAAGCATACAGTATATTCTATCCAAATATCTAAACTGAGTATCTGAAAGCCAAAATTCAGCAAAACTAATTTACAAGCTTTATAAACAAATATATAATGTCCGACCAGACTGGTAGTGTCCGCAGTAAACCATTCATGAAACAGGTGTATCCACTTTTATTCAATAAGATAGCACACCAATTCAGTTTCAGTGTAGGAGGGTTTTGTACATTAAAACTAGTCCACTAACTAAATTCCGGATAGTTCCTGATTAACAGGATGTCTCCTAGGGGTTTCACAAAACAAACTTGTGTACTTTTTAAGTGTTCTTTAGGCAGTTAGCCTGTTCACTCAGCATTAGGTTCTCACAGCAAAGAGAGAGTAGAAGAGAAAGCCTTGAGCATTAGTAAGCTTACATATAAAAGGCCTCTTGACATTTATCACCTTCCCAGCCACCTTCTGGATGCCCACTTGCAGGGATTGGCCAGGGCATGGTAACTATTCAGCTGGTAATTTGAATCTCCCTCCCTATGCTGGGGAAGCTTACTCCAGAGGCAGGGGAAGCAATCAAACTCTCAGTACAGGAATCCTGATCAGACCCATGGTTTTTATACACAGGTTTTTATACCTGTGTATACAGTATTTATATCATCTTTGTTTATGTTTAGTCTAGAATTAACCTTAATCACTCTCCTGAAGTAGTGGAGAGCATTCAAGAAATGTGCCGAGAGCAAAAGATTCCTAATCCACCACTTAACTAACCAAGAGAATATGTAATTCTTTGGAATACAGGAATAGAATGATACAGTATGTAGAAGTGCAAGAAGATACTTGATGGGATGGAATATGTGATTGAGGTGCTATAATAATTGTATTTGAAAGCTTATATTTTAAAACATGTTGCTGATTTTTTTAAAGTGATTTTAATGAAATTGTTTTTTTTTCACTGATATTGGTTAAATTTTTACATACCTCAAAAGCCTCATTTTTACATACCTCAAAAGCCTCTCATTTGTTTTCGCTATTACTACCCTAGCCCACAGCTTATTATTTGCAACACTGTGGAACTTCTGCTTCTTGAGGTACCCATTTATCATCTTTACATTTTCCAAGCATTTGCCAAATCGGAGTATCGCAACTGTCTGAAACCAAAATCTTCCATAACCTCTAGTATATCTGTTATTTCCCGCATGGGGGGGGGGGTTCTCTACTCCCTTAACCATGGTCGCTAGTGCATAGTTATCAGGTACAGGTAAAGGTGTCATCTTCCTCCTCAACTTCATGCAAAATAGTAACATTATTTGCGTCAGACAGACTGGCGTGGACAAAGGTGCTGACGCTTCCAGAGTCCAACAAGGCTTCCAGAGGGTGTCTCTCTGTTTTTATTAGGACATGCTTCCTTCTAGTCTCTTTTCCTAGATGTGCTTCCAAAACAGGCTTGACAAATGTTGATATACCACTCCCCAGTGCATATTCCATAGGTTCATGTAAAATGGGGCAATTTACAGCAACATTCTCTAGTCCTTGGCACCATCGCTGCCTAATATGCTGTGTCTCTCTCTGGGAAGAGACTCGTTTTGGGCTAGGAGGTCTTTTATATCTGGCAGTCTTACAGGCTTGGAGGTCAAATCCCAGCGATAGTAGCAATAAGTCACTCCACAAAGGACACCATGCTCTTGGGGTTTGTAAGCAATGCTCTGATGTAGTGGTTGCAGAGAACTTGCTCCACAATCTGACCAGGGTTGAGCACCTCCAGTTGCAACTACTTGTTTGTAAAGTGGAGCAAATCATACATTTAGGCTCCTCATAGGCTTCCCTATTTAAAAAGGGTGTTAGTACAGTTTTGGCTGTTTTGCCACCACACTTATTTACTTGGTTCTATACAGATTCTAAATGTAATAAGTGATTATAACCTTTTGTCTATACCTGAATTTAGCCAATCCTCATGTGGCTATTACCAATAATGTTAATAACAAAGGAAAAACAACTGTGCAAAAATACAGATCTAATGTATTTACACAGCAAGGAAGCTTTCTATTAATCAATTATGACAAAATAAATAGTAACTTTAACAGTATTAATATTACTATGCATATACAGAATGTTACCTATACAAAGAAAGACTACAAGAAAGAAAGTTACAGGAAAAAGTACGTCCTGATGTTCTGAGGTCTGGGCTCCAGGGAAAAAAGGGCAGAAGGGACACAGAGGCAGACCTTTATACCCCCTCCCTTCCAGGCAGTCCCACCCTTCAATGGTTCCAGTATTCTGCCATTTCTGTTCATAGGGGGGGGGGCTCTGTGATTTGTGAAAGACATTGGCCAACTGTAGTTCATCAGATGGAAATTAGGATGGGCCAATGTCCAGGAAGCATATCTCCTTTGAAGCCAGTTCCCACAGGAAACTCCCTAGGAGGTGTTGGCTACAGGAAACCTTCACGGGGGGAAGGGGGTATTGAGGTGATACAACAGATGGTAAATAAGTTACAGGAATTGAGACCCCTATCAGAAGTTCACAATAATATTAAAAGGCATTGTAGGCCCAAAATAGTCATCACATTTCCCACTGAAGTTCATTTGAGAACTTATGCCCTCCCTCAATGATTTTGTACCCACCCATGACCACCCAGAAGGCCCAACCCCCCCCATCACCACTGCGGCCTCCTCTTCTTTCTTGATCACAATGGAACTCCTTGACGGAACTCCTTATCTGTAGTAAAAAAAGAAATCCTGGTGCCTCCGAGACCTCACATTCAGACCATGAATGCCTGTGCTGCGATGTTTCCTCACCCCTCTGCCTTGGAAGGACGAAACTCCAATATCGATGGCGGGATCCTGGTATCTTTAGTCCCGTAGCTTGGGAACACTGTGCAAAGATTGGATCAGACCGCAAAATGCCACTATTCAGCATGGTGAAAGATAGTTGAGGAAGGTCTAGCTTTTGTACCCTTGTCTCAAGATATGACGTGGTGGTTGTTGTTTCTTCAGGTGGTGGTAGGGCAGGCCTCCAGGCAATCATACATGGATACAAAAAAAAGATAATGTTATGGGGGGGGATCAAGAGTGAAGCAGCTGTTTGGGACTTTAAGGCTGTTAAGCATAGGGGTCTTAATGTGGGCAAGTAAAGTGGGATCCCCACAGGATGCGGAGTCTGAGCAACAGCCGGTATTTACCAGGCCCCTGAAGGTGGGGATGACTGATGCTGCATGCTATTGTCAGGTCTCAGGCCCTGGGTTCTCCCCACCCACTCACAGAGCTCGGGGTGAAACTATATACAGATTGAGGGATGTCTGCAGGAAGCAATTTAAGCCTGTGGATCCCCATCGGACTCTTGATGCTGAGTTGGGCACGAATTCCGCAGCCTTATAATTTACAGCTCTTTTATGTAAAAAAAATTACATGAAACAAGGACAAAGAGAGAAGAAAGAGTAATATAAGCAAAAGCATAAACATAATGATATAAAAATAAAAAGGTACAGATTTAATGCTCCTCCAAGTAAGACTTTTCCTTTACATATTTCACTTTAGGTTGGTAAAGAGCAATGAATCTGTATTCATACAAAAAAAAATAAAAAATGAGAAAAGGTGAAAAAAAAAAAAAAAAATAATATATACTGTGTATATATATATATATATATATATATATATATATATATATATATATATATATATACGCCTTGGAAAACTGTTGGTAACTGCATTAAAATACAAAAACATTGCAAAAATTCCTCCGCCATACTAGTAATCAACAGTATATTTGCAGGTCAGTTACACAAAAATGGAGAGAGTAAAAAATTGATTGAAAAAAAACTTTTAGAATTTAGATAAACCTGACTGCATTTTATTGCTCCAATTTAGAGGCTTC